CTCTCCTGTCGTGCGTTATTGGGTAGTTCGTTTGCTTCATTTATACAAAGAGTATCTTGAGGTCCGTGTGCAGTTTTGACAATGGCAACGTTAGCCTTTGGTCTTTTGACCGTTACCGTGGTATAAAACGGAATTTCTCAACATTTCTCATAGTTGCTTAGAAAGGTGCGCTCCAGCATCATCCTTCCTCTTCTTCATGTTAATTGCGCATTCATCATGCTTGCGCACAGTCTGCGCTGCTGAAAGAAAAAAGAGTTCTTGTGAGTGATCTTTTCACTGCACATCATTAAGCTCTATAATCTTTTCCCTCAGAAAACTTAGTGCGACCTAATTCTTCGCATAAAAATGATCCGTTCTGCGTAACTGAGCTATAGCAGACCATTTCCTAACGCAATGCTTCATTGCTTAGGCCATAGTAAATATTACTTAGAAAATTGCTAATGCATTTTATTAAAACTATTAAGAATACAAAACCAAGTTTGAAAATGACGATGGATGCATTTCTACAGACTACTCGGAAAGGGATTTGGCGAATCCAATCCTTTTTTGTTTCATGTCATGAATATTACAGTATTGGCGAATGAATGGGTCGCCGAGAATCCATGCAGGACCAATCCCTCCATAAGAAAAGGGGAATACCGCAAATAAGCACATGTTGTCACCAGCCTGCAGAAGCCAGTTTTTGAGTGGCCTATTTTTGGATTTAATAGACTTACGTCAACTATGTAATTCTTCGCTTCTATAGAGTATTTTCTGCTTCCAATGTAGATGTCGAGACTCGGTGGATGAGCGTTGCAAGGGATTGTATAAAGCTGGTATTCTCTTAGGTACTTAATAAAACAACATAATATTTTGCTTTACACGATGTACATACTGTAATGCCAAACCGTGGCTCCAATTGCCTTAGCTAGCCTATTCGTTTCACTTTGTGGACCACCAACGAATGATGTACCTGTGTCTGATATTGCTTCAGACATTCTCGTTTTCACCATTTTTCCTACTCCAATACCC